TGTTAGTTTAGCATAATTCTAGAAAATCACTTCAAAAAAAATAGATGCAGTTGCCAATAATGATAATCAGTGGACTTGAAACGAAACCTGATCTTTTTTTATCAATCTTGTATTTTCCAACAAATTTATTCTCACAATTTATTTTTGCAAATTAAATTTGAAAAACCTCTTACTTACCTTTATATCACACTAATCACCTTGTTAAAATAACTCAATCCCCGTGGAGACAAACATAGAATTTTATTCGATATAATTAGTAGACTTACTAATTTGTCATCACCTCATTAAAAATCATTGCCCCATACGAGGCGTAAGGGAAAAGAGTACTTCCCCCATAAAGATAACTCTTCCTTACAAACGGTAGAGGTAAAATACTCTCCTAAAACCAAAATAATAACAAATAGGACAAGTAACTATAAATAGAGAGTACTTCTGACGCATTCAGTTAAGGCTTCATTCTCATATCTTCTCTCCCTTCTGGGGAGGAGCCTCTCCATCTTTCATAGCCACTTCTGGTGGCTTGATTCTCTGGCCTACGCTTTTGGTTCTCACACCCAGTGTTCCTATTTTTTAACCTTTATACTTTCCATTTAGCATTTTCTAGCGACTTCTTGATCTCTTTGGATGATTCTAATTTGTCTGTCAAAAAATGGGTATTTCATGCACAAATATAGAGTAGACTGAACAACACTCAACTGATTGAAAGTTGATCTTTCTATGATCATATTATATAAAGATGTGGCATATATAACCAGATGCCTGACCTTGATTTTCTTGGCCTATTCTCTCGCCCAAAGGCGATCTTCAACGTTATGTAACCCTTGTACTTGCTCCAAAAAAACCAACAATAACCCTTTAAATTTTTTTAGATCATATGGGTCAAGGAAAAGCCTCTCAAATGTATCCTAGTAGAGGATATATGTGGATCTTTCTTGATATACTAACACTCTTTTAATTTCCTAGTTATCACATCTCAAGGTGATGACCATGGGGTTGTCATTGTGGGAATGGATGCATGTTGCGTCTTTTTCTGAAAAAGCAATCTCTACCTCTAGTGCTTTGGTCACACCTACCTTTGGATCTATGAGCATATTTTCTATAGTTAATATCTGGTGAGTATATCTTCAATGGGCATAACTGGTCTTTCCTCCCCTATAAAATCCTCCTGCAATTGTATTGAGTGTGTGGCGCACAATCTTGTCGCCATCTTCTTTGCATAACTCCTTTCCTTTTTTAGGTATGAGGCTTCCAGTATTGTCAAGCCCGCGAGAGGTAGCCATGCATGGCTCTTAAGAGGAGTCGTATTTGATGTATTTCTTGAGGTGGATCTCCTGGATCAGTCGCTCTATTTCATTTTTAAGTTGGTAGTAATTCTCTGTGTGGTGTCCTCTAACGTTGTGGAATTTGCACCATTAGGCAAGTTCAGGCCTCATGACCTCCACTTTTAGAGCTAAAGGTTTAAGGATGTCATTCAAATGGATAATCTGCCTCCATATTTGCTCTTGGCGAATGTTCAGGGGTGTGAAGTGTTGGAACAAGTTTGGTTCTATATCTACAATCCAGACTTACTCTAATAACCCAAACCTCATTTTCACTAGACTCTAAAGTCTAATCTTCAAGGCTCTGAACTTCAACCAAGCTTCAAATCATCTCAAATACGAAGCCAATGATTTAGAGAATAATGATTGAAATAATATTTTTGGAAATCGTACATTCAAACAGCAAAATCAAATGTTTCTTTAAAAGAACAAATATGCTAGAATTATTAAGGAATGTACTACCAACGGATCTCCAAGATTCATGACGCAACCTCGTACCACTATTAAAATTGTGCAATTAAAGAAGTTTCTAATTATATCCTCCAACAATGCTATTCATCATCTATTTGAAGATGACAAGGAATTGGGAAAAACAGAGATGTGAAGAGAAAAACAACAGTTAAAACACTCAATACACTTAGAGCTTTTTATTTGTACATTTTCTTAAGTGTAAACTCTGAAATTCATGTTTATGTATCTGCTTGTTTAGAAGCATTTTTGTAAACATACATTATTTGTATTTTAATTTTAGTTAGATTCCTTTAGGGACTAAGTTTAGTTTATAGCCTCAAGAAGTCATTGACAGTTGGTCTTTGAGTTTTTCCTTGAGGGACTAAGTTTAGTCTATAGCCTCGAAAAAGTCATTGAGAGTTGGTCTTTGAGTTTGTAATCTGATTGAATAGTGGATTAAGACCTTGTGAGAATGACTAAACTAACTTAGTTAACAGTGAAACAGTATAAAAATCCCATGCATTTTATCATTGTTTTTGTTGTCATTGGTTTGTGATTGGCTTACGCAAAACGTTGTCATATCAGAAATCCAATTCAAACCTCCTTTTCTTGTGCTTCTTGAACTTTGATGAATATTTCCATAGTTTTTCTACCCGGCTTAAACGTCGTCTTAACCCTGGCAGGTGAGGTGTAGTTATTCTTTCTTGGGTGTTGCGAGCTTTCTGCATTAGTGACGCTCTCTTTCAGGTGACAGACCTTCTTCTCGACATTATTCTTTTCGCCCTTTATATAGCATTCTGCCTTTTATATAGCATTCGCCCTTGTGGCCACCTCTGCTTTAAATCCATTCTAAAATGCTCCTACAAATATTTCTTGGTTCAGATGAATGACTTTTATCACAGCTTCATTAAAACGGCAAGGCATTTCCTCAACGACTCTGAGGGACCTTTTCAAATTTTAAAAAGGATGGTAGTGGATATTGTTCTGTGTTGACTTGTTGCGAACTGGTGCACAAGTTTCTTCACTAGATCTTGATAGTTGGTGATGGAGGATCGAAGTAGTCCCATATACAATCGTAGGGCTGCATCCCTGAAAGTGCCAGATAAAAACTTGTATTTTAGAGAATAGGGCATTCCGATGATGGCCATCTGTGTGTTAATGGAGGCGACGTGCTCATAAGGGTCACTATGCCATCAAAATTTTCAAAGGAGGGAGGCTTGAATCCCTTAAGGACAAGTGTTTCCCGTATCTCGTATGAGAGGCGTCATGGATCCATCATTTCTGCCTCTTACGTGGGGGTAGCCTCCTACTGGCGTTGTTGAATGTTAAGGATGTTGTCCTCCAATGTTTGGTTTTGACGACGCTACTCGTCCATGGCAGGACGCATCTCTACCATGGAATTAGAATCACTTTCACATTTAATATCCTCCTGTGCGGGAGATTACGCCCTCATAGCAACCATGACTAAGGACGACTAGGACAAGGAGTAGAGGCTTTAGTGAGTTAAAGGTGGTGATAACGATGGACGGTGTAGCCCGAGTCTGTTTCACCTAGGCTCCACGTTGGGCGCCACTGTATTTGCTAAAAAGTTTAGATATGTAGTAGCCTTAGGCTGGTAGGGGTTACCCGAGGCTTTAATGTTTATGTGGGGTTAGAACAAGCTCACGAGGATGATAAGCTCTGATTTTGGGGTGTTTATCTGCGTGAATATCAAATTCCCCCTTCTCCACCCTCTGGTAGAATTATTTATAGAGGTTTATGAGTCTGAATTAAGGTTTTTCAGGAATATAAATCGTTAGTAGATGCAAGTTAACTATTGAATCCATATTTTCTAGGAAGACATGAGTTATTCCATAGACTTTTTTTCTGCACCACTTATAACTAAGACACATCACTTCCCACATCCTTCCACTATGAGCAGGTAATATAGACTATGGACGGCGCCTCCAAGATGCGGGTGATACCATTAAGTCGCCTCTTATGCATCTTTACAAATATATCATTACCAAAATCAAATAATATGAATATGCTGTTGTAGTTGATTTTGAGATAGGCGGTGATAACTATTTGATTTGAATATGCTTCATATAACTTGAAACAATATATGCATGTCAGTGTTTCTAAATGATTTATAAATATGTGCGTTGATTAGCAGAGATGACCTCAAACATGGATTACCACATTGTATCATCTTGGTACGCCGATTCGAGCATCTCATACAATGTGACTTTGGATCTTGTCATTCAACTTGTTTGTAAGTTTCATATTCTTTAATAAATAACTCATAATATATGAGTTGAGCTGCTTAGAGTTACACCGTTGCAGATTGAAAAATCTAGCTTGACGAGACTAAACGTACTCTTTAATTTGGGTCTAATTCTATAATATCAATGTTTGTTTAGTTTTAAAAAAGTAATAATTGAATTTTATTTAAATTTTAAATTTTAAATTTTAAAACATTCTTTTAATAAAATCGATAAAATCTAAATTAAATCAACCTAATTAATATTAATGAATAAATTAAAACTATGAATTAATTTAATTTAAATTAAAATATAATAAAAATCTAAATAAAAAGAAGTAAAATTTCATTCAAAATTTGAAGTTATGTATTCTAGAAAAAGTGGATGTATGCACGATAGTATTAATAAGGCAAATAGGATATGTTATAGAGTAGTGGTATTAGACTATTACCCACAAGTTTCGATGACTCCAAGAGCTATGAAAAAATTTCAATCAATTAGAAAATCATACAAAAAATATAAAAGTGCTAACAAAAAAAGAAAATTAATAAACATTAACAAATGTGCTGGCAATAAAAATCCACAGAATCACTATTAACCTGTACGATCTCCAATAGTTCTCTCCACCAAAACCAGAGCACCCCCTGTTTTCTAAAATCCTCTTTTACTACCACTGAAACATGGTCTTCCCAATGACACAGAAGTCCACCAATTACAATTATACCCTTTCCTTTCTAACCATAATTTTCCTAAACTTTTTCTTTACTTTCTCAACCAGATACCACCCAATCATAAAATAAAATGTAGTACAAATTTCAACGTTGTCTTAACCAAAAATTATTAATAAATTAATATAAAACATAGAATGGCATTTCTGTAAATTAGTCATAAGAAGAAGGGTAATAACTAATCAAATTTCCTACAAATATTTCATTAGTTTCATTCACTTGTAACCTTAACAAACAACACAAACCAAAACACCAAAACCATGCATATTCAAACTTGTCACTCCGTTAAAACACTTCCACTAACATGGAACATTCCCAAAACCATGAACAACCCAACACATCGCCACCTACTTCCACCACCAAAATCCACCGTCTCCGCCGCACCGCCTCCGCTAAAACTCTCCAAAACCCACTCAATGCCACCGGAAAAACTCGAAATTTTCAAGTCACTAGAAACCTGGGCTTCTGAGTCTGTATTACCACTGTTAAAGCCCGTGGAACAATGCTGGCAGCCACAGGGTTTTCTCCCTGATCCTTCGTTACCGTTTGATGAATTCACTGATAAGGTGAAAGCTCTTCGGGATCGAACCAAAGAGCTTCCGGATGAGTATTTTGTTGTGTTGGTGGGTGATATGGTGACGGAAGATGCGCTTCCGACTTATCAGAGTATGATTAATGGGCTTGACGGAGTTGGTGATGAGAGTGGCGCGAGTCCAAGCCCGTGGGCCGTGTGGACACGGGCTTGGACTGCGGAAGAGAATAGGCATGGAGATTTGCTTAGGACTTATTTGTATCTTTCTGGGAGGGTCGATATGGAGAAGATTGAGAAAACTGTTCAGTATCTTATTGGAGCTGGCATGGTGAGTTTTTTTTTATTCTCTTGGAACTTTTTATATGTTTTGATATAATAATATTGTCCTAGCGTCTGTGTCTGAGTCTATGTTTCATATATTTTGTTGAAAATAATGCCTACATTGTTTTCTGTTTGTATTGATCACAGGACCCAGGAACAGAAAACAATCCATATTTGGGATTCGTATACACATCATTCCAAGAGCGAGCCACATTCGTATCACACGGAAACACAGCTCGCTTAGCAAAAGAAGGAGGCGATCCAGTGCTTGCGCGCATATGCGGTACAATTGCAGCAGACGAGAAGCGTCACGAGAACGCGTACTCAAAAATCGTGGAGAAGCTTCTTGAAGTTGACCCCTCAGGAGCAATGGTAGCCATTGGTGACATGATGGAGAAAAAGATCACAATGCCTGCACATCTTATGTATGATGGACAAGACCCTAAGCTATTCGAGCATTTCGCAGCCGTGGCACAACGCACGGGCGTCTACACAGCTAATGATTATGCTGATATCTTGGAGTTTTTAGTCGAACGGTGGAGGTTGGAGAAGTTGGAAGGATTAACAAGCGAGGGTCAAAAGGCGCAAGATTATGTTTGTGGCTTAGCACCGAGGATTAGGAGGCTGCAAGAGCGCGCTGATGCCCGGGCAAGGAAGATGAAGCCACATGGTGTCAAGTTTAGTTGGGTTTTCAATAAAGAGGTAATTTTGTGAAGAACTTGAAGTGTGCATGTTTGGTTTTACACTGATTACTCCTAGTGTGATGTAAAACATGCATTAAGTTTGAGGGTCGATACAAAGTTAACAACCCATGTTGACACAAAATTTGGATAGTGTGAGTGGAGAATATGATGCTAGAACAATGTATTTTGCGTTTAGTATAGGAGAAAAGGAAATTGATGGTTGCATAGTTGTTATTTTACGGATGAAAGGTGGGACTTTTGGTTTGTTATGTTTGTTCTGCATCTTAAATAATAGTAGCTTTTTTTTAGAGGAAGAAATTATAGTTAAATATCATTGTAAGATTTTTTTTAATCAAATAATGAAATCCGATGGCGATCAGCATGTATTGGTCTTGATTGAAATTTTGTTTAAGTCAAAATCTAGAAGTCTTCCACAATGTTGTCAATAATGTTAATAATGTGGGAGATAAAATGATTTGAATTAAGTAAAGAACAATTTAAACAATAACAAATAAAAAACACGAGATATAAATCTAGTTAGGTGCATTAAAGGAAATGAAATTTACTCTTATTTGAATTCTCTCACTTTAGGGTCTTTTTCTAATAATACATATGAAATTTAACTTAGACTCTTAAATTTAGGCTTCTCTCAGTTTAGGATCTTTTTCTTTATAGTACATATGAAATTTAACTCTTGACTCTTAAATTTAGGTATAAGAATAGGTTATGTCTGTGACTCTTAAATTTAGGTATGAGAATAGGTTATGTCTGTGACTCTTAAATTTAGGTATGAGAATAGGTTACGTTGGTTTATAAATTTAAGTCTGGTCTCTTATTGTGACTAAAAAGAAAACTTTCAATATAAACTTTTTTTCTATCTTTTATCTAACTTCGAGCCGACACTCGTAAAGTTTGGTAGTGATACCTCTATCAAAGAAAGAGATTTTGTCAAACTTATTAGATCTATTGTGGATGTTGTTGTGGGAAAGGCTATGCTAGGGCGTGGGGAAAGGCTATGCTAGGGTGTGTGGTCGACACGCTGGGAGTACTTATTGATGGAAGAGGGGTTCTAAGCGATCACGAGCGAAGACGTGTTGAAGTGAAAGTTCCTTAGGTTATGGGAGTACCTATTGATGGAAGAGGGACTCTAGGCGATCACGCGCAAAGACGTGTCGAAGTGAAAGCCCTTGAGATTATAGGCGATCACGAGCGAAGACGTGTCGAAATGAGAAAGCCCCTGAGATTATAGAACGTAAATCAACGCACGAGCCTATGCAAACTGGGTTAAAAGCGGTAGATAGTTTGGTTCCTATAAGCCGTGATCAACAAGAACTTATAATCAGGGACCGACAAACTGAAAAAACAACTATAATTATCGATAAAAAGACTATGATTAGACTTTTTAAAAATCTATTAAGTTAATTATGACACACTTAGGCTATTAAGAAGTTTATAAATTTTGAAATATTGATTGAACCCCATGACTAACTTGAACAAAATTAAATAACTCGGTTGAATAAATATATCTCTTTAATAAAATTATATAGTTATTAAATCAGATGTATATATCTCTAAATAAAATCATAACATGTAAAAAATTGAAAATATCTTTCAAAATTTTATTCTTTAAATTAAAATTATAAACATAGTCATTACACACAACAAAATAATATCAAATATAAATCAAAATAAATTTTGAATAAAGTCTAATTTTAACATAATTTAATCTCATCATTAAGTGAATAACAAAATACTTGTAGTGTTTAATAAATTTAATTCTAAGAGAAAAAGTTGTTTCAATGTTGGACTATCCTTCTTCATCAAAAGCATCTGCATAAAAATCGCGACATCTTCTCCATCAACGATATCATTATTTTGGTTCATGTTTACAATACACAACACACGTACAAGTGGTTTTGTGATTTTCAATATGTCAGCACACATAGGCCAAAATTTTGAGTTTAAGACTTGCCCCACAAATTGCTTTGTCTTAACATCTTGGAATGAGTTGTGTCCGTCTATTCTTTTGATGTTATCATGCCTCTTAGTGCATTTTTCTGAGCCAAAATACTTTGCAAAACAATAAAATTAGTGGCAAAACGGATTGAAGTAAGACGAAGTATTTCTCTTCCACATGTATTTGTCTCATCAAATCAATGATATATATATATATATATATATATATATATATATATATATATATATATATATATATATATATATATATATATATATATATATATATATATATATATATATATATATATATATATATATATATATATATATATATATATATATATATATATATATATATATATATATATATATATATATATATATATATATATATATATATATATATATATATATATATATATATATATATATATATATATATATATATATATATATATATATATATATATATATATATATATATATATATATATATATAGTGTACCGTACAAGGAGACCAATACAAATGAGAAAACTCCTTTCCACCAACTTTTCAACCGTAACATAATTCTCAGCATTATATGTGAAGATTTGAACAGCATTTTCAGGGCCAATTGTTATACCCCATATTTTGTCCACCGATTTTCATTTTTTAATTGCAGTTAAATTCATCTGCATATCATTTCATTTGGTCATGGAGTCTCATAAATTTAAAATAAAAAGTTCTTGGCATTTTTTCCCTCAAAAAGTATGGTACAACAAAAGAACAACTCGAATTGAATCATCTAATCGAACCTACTATCGAAAAGCTATATCTGCAACATAAACCTTTTAGAATGATAATGAATAAAAATTGTTTAACAATTATCAAGTCATGAATCAATCAAATGCAAAGTTATTCGTAATGCTTATTTCCAATGTACAGAAAGTGATATAAATACTTCACAAACAATTTATTGAACACTTTATGTGCGATTGGTCGCGTTTGGAAATTTGATTTATTTTTTCGATGTAAAAAGCCAATCACAACCAAAGTGATTATGATTATATCAACAATAAAAATTTAAAAGAAATTTGAAAATAATTTCTAACCGAATTAATCGAAACAACAATGAAATCGATAATTAGCAAGAACAACAATCAAAGAAAATTAAAGTGATAAAGAGACACAAAGATTTGTTTAGTCAGTTCCCTAATCGGCCTCGCTATGAGTACATCTACCCTCAATATGAAATCGAATTGAGATAATTGCAATTAACCTTGTCTTTGAAAAAATATTTATACAATAGGCGAAGAATTCTAACCCCACAAACCTATTGTTTGTTATTGAATCAGCCACCTTCAAACCCTTGATCAAAGCTTGATCAAGTCAATAACTATGTGGCTACAATCCTCCGATTATCTCAAGAACACACTTGTTGAACCCAAGATTCCTGAACATGATTCATTGTCTCGCACTACTCCATTGCAAGGAAACCACCTTGTCCTAAGGTCTTCACTCGGTCGAATCCATGTTGACATGATCTTATCTAAAACCTTCAAATCACACCGATCTTGAAGGAAAACTCCACCTTGATTTTCTTATTTGAAACACACAAATATCCCATCCCAATATTCTTGGTTACACCAAACCTAATTGGACATTATCAATCCTAATCTAAATGGTCACCCAATTGGAAAGTGATTATGTGTAGTTCAATTGTGTGTATGCATAGAAGAGAGGTTGAAGATGATGGGAATGCTTTGTAATTTGGTTTCATATAGGTAATTCACTAGTACCTTGCTAAATAAATGGTGCATGTATGAGTATATATATGTGTATGTGGAAATAGAGAAAAAAGGATGTAAGAAAAATAAGATGCAAAGTGAAATTTTAAATTTTAGAAGGCTACAGGTCATCCTATGAAAGCAATAGGTCGGTCTGAAGGACTCGACCTATGGGAAGAATCCACAGGCTTTATTCTCAGAGCGTAGGAGTCAGCCTATAGTCGTATGTGTCGACCTGTATTAAAACAAAAGCTTCTACAGGTCGGCCTGAACACACATAGGTCGGCCTCTGCAGTTTTATTGGCACACAAACTTGATTTCTGGTGAGAATGCAATGCCTAAGACCTTTCAAACAATTTCAAGAACACTTGTATGCATCCTAAATCTAATAATAATCAAGGCACATTTAAAACTTGGTTGATGCCCCCAATATACAAAAACTCTACGTTAAACTACTAGTTTTGACATCATTTAAAACTCGATTGAATTTGTAGAAAACACTCAAGTACTCCCCCTTTTTGATGATGGAAAAACGTGAATAATGTAGCCGTAGCCATTGCGATTTTCTTTAATATGTAACACCCCAAATTCTTGGAATATTTATTTAATTTATTTAAATATGAATATTCGCATTTTTGGTGATTTTCGGTGGTTGGTGTAAAATATTGAGAATTATGGATTTTGGGTTATTTATTTAAATAATAGTATATAATATGAATATATTGGTATTATTATTAATTTAAATAAATATAAGTTAACTAAGGGAAAATTGGACAATTGAGGAGGAGTTAGTGAGGGTAATATTGGAAAGCCCAATTTTAAGGCCCAAGGTTAGGTTTAACAAAAAGGAATTGTGATGGGATTAGGATTCATTTTGTTAGACCGTGAAAAGAATTGAGGCCAGAGCTCTAAGGAAGTGGTTTGAGGCAAAAGCTTCGAAAGGTTTTCTGAAAGTCAAAGAGAAGGCTTAAAGTCGGCAATTAAGGTGTGTGGAGTATTACCTTCATTGTTTTCAATGTATAATTTCAATGTATTTAAGACTGATTTAAGGGTTTAAAGGGTTTGAGGCTGATTTATGAGGTAAAGGAAATTTGGCCTTCATGGCCTAAATCTATTATTGAGATTTTAACCGTAGGGATTTGAACTGATGGTCTGATAGGTTCGAGGCCGATTTGGGTTTTGAAGGAAATTAGGCCTTCGTGGCCAAAACTCTAATTTGACATTTGTCTAACCCAGTAGGGTAATTAGATAGTCAAAATACTCTAATGATTGTGGTGTAATAAGTCGTAGATTTTATGCCTTCAT